CGCTACTCGCGCATGTGCAGTGGGCACCCGGCTGTGAGGCTGTCACAGCCGGGTGCCCACAATGAAGATGCCACAGGTGCTGAGGACACAGGACGGTCGGTCAACCCGGCTGGTGTGAGGAGACCATGGGATCGAGGGACAGGTGAGTATCCACTTTTTAAAAGTCAGCATTCCATTTATAAGGACTACATATCCCATATTACCTTGCGGCCTACAAACTGTGATTCCTGTACTGACTCCGTCTCCTGAAACTCTTCCTCTCAGCACCTCTGTAGGTTAGAAGGCAGGCTCTGTGAAATGTGTGACACAGCAGTACCTACGTGTCATAGAATAGGAAGTAAATGTGTGGGGATCTTCAGAAAGTAAATTTACAAGATTGCTCAGATTAATAGAAATAGACTTGGAATAATTGAAATATTATCTGGAAATGATTTTCCATTTTGACCATAGATACCCTTTAAAGTAGAAGGTAAGTCAAAACCTAACCAAGCTTATACCTACTCTCACCCCCATTCTAAACTTATTCTCCCTACCCTATAAAAGGAAAGATGTTTATACTTACCTACGCTGAGGGTGCGCCGGTCCGGTCACATGATCAGGTCCCAGCGCAGGCTTCAGTGTAGAGGAAGGACAGCCGACAATGGAATGCCACACATTAAGCCTATGAACGACGTCATGGCGCAAGGTCTGCAGCCATTGTTGGCAGGCTATCCTTTTCACCAAAACTGGACTGGAGAGCTCATGTGATCAGACCAGGGTGATTTCAGAATAGGTAAGTATAAACTTTCTACCTTTTTTCAGGATAGATAGAATAGGCTTAGAATAGCGGTGTGAGTAGATATAAGCTTAGTGAGGTTTTGACTTCCACTTTCAGTTAAAGAGGTTGTAAACCTCAGACATGAAATATGAACAAACCATATCCCTCTATAGTGTGTACTTGTCTTAATCCAGAGCACTGAGTGTGATTTCTGTCTGCTGCTTCCTTCCTCTGCCATCAGCATGAGTCCTTTCTGACAAGATTTCCTGACACCAAGAAAAATGGTGACAGTGGAGGTCACAGGCTGCGATTCACAGCCTCAGCTCTGTTCCTGTATGCTGTGTGGAGGGGGTGTGTCTCTTCCCGCCAATCAGCTCTCAGAGCTCTCCTCACTAAGCTCTGCAGAGTGTAACTTCAGCTCTCCTTTTTTGGAACTTGCAGACAAGCTTTATAAATTCTGCACTTTGAATGCATGTAGAGAAGACTGCTGATGGACAGGTACAACATACGTAGGAGGATTTGTTTCATCTCTGTATCACCTGAGGTCAGTGACTTCACTGGGTATATGAGAGGGTTTACAACCCCTTTATTATGGAATTATAGAACCCCAGTCTACATTTTACTGTTGTCTGTTTCTCTGTTAGAGAGTTCCCCTCACTTCCTGTCTGCTAAACCATTGTCCAAGCAGCAAAAAGTGAGGAAAAATCTCTAACTGCTTCCCGACTGCCCTATGCTACAGGGCGGCAGGGGGATGCGCAAAATCACATATATATGTGGTATGGTAGGGGGCTCACGCATGCTTCCTGCCCACGCCACATTGGCTCCTCAGCATGTTCTTGGCCAGGACTCCATGATCGTCGGCGGAGCTGACGGGAAAGGTCTGTATGTAAACAATAAAGATCTGTCCCCTATCAGCACGAACAAGCTGCTTTGTATCGCTCTGCACAGCAGAGCGATACAAAGCAGCTAGTTTCCCTAGTAAAACAGCACACTTAGTAAAACGCACAAAAACAGCACACTTAGTAAAACACAGTTAACCATTTGATTGCCCCAGATTAACCCCTTCCTGCCCAGTGAATTTTATTAGCGCTGATCACTGTATTGGTTTCACTGGGGATGTCAGTGACACGAAGTCAGTTCCCCCAGTGTCAGTGCCTGCCGCAGTCCCGCTATAAGTCGCTGATCGCTGCCATTACTAGTAAAATTAAAAAATCCCAGTATATATACCACCATTTGTAAACGCTATAACTTTCAAGAAACCAATTAATTTACTCGTATTGGGATTTTTTTTTTAGCAAAGACATGTAGCAGAATACATTTTGGCCTAAATTTATTCCAAAATTTGATTTTTTAAATTTTTTTATTGGATGTGTTTAATAGCAAAAAGTCAAAAATATTGTTTTTTTTTTTTCAAAATTGTTGGGTTTATTTTTTGCTTATAGCACAAAAAAAAAAAAAAAATGCACAGGTGATCAAATACCACCAAAAGAAAGCTCTGCTGTACGGGGGACCCCCGGCGATTGAAAGGCGGCACGGGTAGGACGCTCGCATGGCTCATACGCACCCCCTACCCAGGGATGCAAAATCACGCATACAGTATATAAGTGATTTTACGCACCCGTGCTGCCCTGTAGCAATATTTCTGCTATAGGGTGGTCCGGAAGTGGTTAAAGGAGGAATGTCACAGATAGGCAATAATGTTAATCATTCCATGTTTTTTGTAAAGGAACATTTTCTCATTATGTCTCTAAATAACATAAATTATAAGTATGTTCCTATATGAGTCTCTACTTTTTAGACCTTTTTACCCCTTCTGAACTGTTTCGTATGGTATACCTGCATTAAAGTATGGCTAAAGGCAAAACTTTTTTTTTAGTTTTGGATAGCGAGGAGAGGGATTCGAACACCTATCAGGTTTTTATTGCTGCCTGTGTCCTCATTAGGGAGAGTCACCCTCTCTGTGTGTCCTGTTTACTGTCATCATTGAAAGTGAAAGTAAAAGAAAAACCAAAATTTTGGGTTGTCCCCAAAAAAGTAATAGAAGGGAAATCTTCCAATGGGGATGCTAGTTCTGGTGACTTGGGGGCCCAAGGAATTCCCTTAATTTGCAGGGATTTGCTCTCACTTCCTGTTTGGCTATAGGGCAGGAAGTGAAGGAAAATCTCTGCAATGGGACACAGATGGTGAAAAAAAAATCTGACGGGTTATAACCCTTCCTTGCTCTATCTAAAATGAAAACAATGTTTTGCCTATAGTTGTACTTTAAGGGCTGGTTCATACCACAGTTTCTGCATTTCGGATGAGTTTCTGAATGCACGATTTTGATGCATTCCAGTGTGTTTTTTCCCTTCTTTTTTTTATCTCAATTAAGAACATGTGCATTTTGATGCATTTTGCTGTGTTCCAGATGCGTTCCATACAGAAAAAATGCATGTTCTACTTTTGCTGGCTGCACTGGAATGCACTGCACGGGTGTGAACTAGGGCCATTGGAATCCATGTCAACTACTGTCCATGCCTTTTTGAAGCAGAATAAAAATGCACTGGACTGCATCTGTGTGAACCAGTCCTGAGAGTTGTCTGACTTCTCAGTCTAATCTGTCCAGTTTCTGTTCTTTGGTGTCATCCTGCCTTTAATGTCACCTCGCTGATGGCAGCCATTATATCACTGGTGAACTTTCTGTCACATTACAGTTCTGTCAAAACTTACTTTTGTAAAAGTTTCTTGTAGTTTCAGTTAGGTTCTGCAATATAACAGACAACAGCACATGACTGGCACTCAAACCAGAATTTAAGGCAGCAGAATAAAGACAAATTCAGCAGCAAAGAAAGCCCTGGTGCATGTATTAAAAGCCTTTATTTATAAAAATAAACTGTAAAAGTAGCAGAAAATTGTCTTCTAAAATGGGATCACATGCTTCTTATTTCATAATTTACAGTTTAGGAAGAGGGATTGTTGCAGAGGCTGTGGTTGATAACATTAGGGCTCTTTCAGAGGGGCAACTGGGAAAGGGGGGGTAAACACAGGGGGATGAGCCGTGGTTTCACTGCCCATGTGAACTGTCACAATACAGCAGAACAGGGCTGTACACATGCTGCAACCATGTGCAATACATGTGATAGAAGTGGAGTTGTGCTGCATTACAGGGTTAAATCAGGTGGTGAAGAGCTGATATAACAGTGCCTACTATATGCACTCTGAAGAGAGATCCAAATGCAGATCAGTCTTCACAGGGCATCACACTCCACCACAAGTGAAAGCTCCTTTAATGTAGTCTCATGACACTGAGAAAAGATTAGCAAACCACTACCTACATGATAAATTGCTTTGGTTCTTGCTGGCATTCTGGTTGTGTCTGACTGTCTGCTTTCACTTTTTTTAAGTCGGAAGGGGTGGAGCTATGTGAGTGAACGTATTGAATTGCATGACAGGTCAAATAACATAGTATTCTATGTTTAACATTCACATATATGCGCTCCAGCCACAGTGCAATTTTGAAAAGGGTCCTGTGCAATTTTCAGTGTGCTGCGGGTGTGATTTTCAGCCTGATACAGTTTAACAATTCGCTCCAGAATCGCACCTACACCACTTGAACAACATCACACCACATCCAGCCGTCAAAATCGCACTGCATCCCCACCGCCTAAATGTGAACCTAGGCTAAGGCCGGTCATACATGGGTTGAAATTCGACCGATTTTTTTTCTTCCGAAAATTGGACCTAAGAATAATCGGCCGATTTTCGCTCTGTTAGTGGGTCAATGGCACCGGCTGATTTTCGTGCTTCCTTCCCTTTTCGGTGATCGGGCATGTTGGAAAATTCGTCAAAAACTTTTCGACTTAATGATGGTCAAATCGTACGATTATTTTTCCGAAAAGAATATGCGCATGACCTGGAAGGAGCAGAAGTTTTGCCTTTTATATGGGGTGAACTTTATGACTTGGTCGGCCCATTTTGGAAATTATTGATGGCACCATCGGATTACCGAGTGAACAACGTTTTCGATTTTCGAACGAAAAATCGTTTGTAATTTGACCCATGTATGGCTCGCATTAGAGGCAAAGCACTTTTTGCCCCAACTTAATTGTAGGTCTTTTTCTAGGTAAGCAGTTTGTGTGGATGGTGATCACAGAAATAATATCACACAGACAATGATTGAAGGAGTAACAGACTTTATCTTTGCACTGCAAATCACTGATGGACACAAGGCAGAAGATCAATGAATTTGATTTTTGACTGGTATAGCCATAATTAGATCCACAGATTTATATGAATATACTGTATATTGGCTGGAGCCTGTTTATCATTGGAGATATACCACACACGTGTTGTAAATGAGTTCTGTATAATACACCTAGGTTGGATATGTTTTGCTGCTCTGCACTTTTTTAACCTCCCCTAGCGGTATTCCCGAGTGTAGCTCGGGGTAAAGTTTCAGTACCAAAAGCGGTAACCCCGAGCTACACTCGAGCTTACCATGCGGCGCTGCTCTGGGATCTGTTCTTCTCTTACCTTGTCCTTCACTCCCGCGATGTCCCTCCTGCAGTGTCCCCGGCAATGTCCTCCGGCCGATGCCGGCATCTGTCATCTGGGTTCCGTCCCCTGCGACGTCGGGACGTACAGGGGACGGAACGGTGGGAAATTTGAAAATGACAAAAAGTGACATTCACTAAATACACTAAAATCACATAGTAAAACATTACTGTATCAAACCATTTCACATACATTTTGTCCCGAGTGCTTTGTCCTGTGCCCTGCCTGCATTTTTACTGTTCTTTCTGCTGGAAACTGAGAAATGTCCATGGCATCCAAAAAGCGTTTCCCTTTAGGTCAAAATCAGTTTTAGACCAGCTAGAGAACAGCGATAGTAAATCAAAACTACTTGCAGAATTGAGTGATAATGATTCGTGGGGAAATTCATCATCAGACACTGAAACCGATTTTGCGACTTTGCTCAGTGATGTGCGAACTTGGCGCTATATTTCAAATTTCGGTGTTTTTGGTTTGATTACATTATTGGATTAAATTTATTATTATATTTTTTATTTTTTATGATTATTTATTAAATTATAATTTATGATTTCGTGTTTCAAATTTTAACATAACCGGGATGTTTACTAGACTCTTGTTCGGACAGATTTCAGTGAGTTATTCCTAAAAATTATAGGCCTACAATGAAAAAAAAACATATTTCCATGCAAAAAAATGTACTGCTTTGAGTACAGAAATACTGACATAATCAGACTGCTAGGGAGGTTAAACATAGATTTGTAGGATGTGGGAACACATGACAGTGTTTTAGCTGCAAAAAAAGTGGCAGGTTGTATTTGTATTGTTGTTTGTTTATCATTATTGATTATATAATTATTTGTATTGGTAGCATGAAGAACATTATTTGTAATTTTTATTTCTTTAAGGATTGCCACAGAAAAAAAATTGCATTGACTTTCACTTTAATGCTACAAGAGTTTTGGCAAGTACAGGTTTCAGTGGAAAATACAGTGGCTTGAAATAGTATTCATACCCCTTGAAATTTTCCACATTTTGTCATGTTACAACCAAAAATGTAAATGTATTTTATTCGTATTTTATGTGATAGACCAAAACAAATTGGCACATAATTGTGAAGTGGAAGGAAAATGCTAAATGGTTTTCAAAATGTTTTACAAGTAAATATGTGAATAGTGCAGCGTTCATTTGTATTCAGCCTCCTGAGTCAATACTTTGTAGAACCACCTTTCACTGCAATTACAGCTGCAAGTCTTTTTTGGGGATTTGTCTACCAGCTTTGCACATCTAGAGTGAAGTTTTTGCCCGTTCTTCTTTGCAAAATAGCTCAAGCTCTGTCAGATTGGATGGAGAGCAATTTTTAAGTCTTGCCACAGATTCTCAATTGGATTTAGGTCTGGACTTGACTGGGCCATTCTAACACTTTCATTTGTTTTGATCTAAACCATTCCATTGTAGCTCTGGCTGTATGTTTAGGTTGTAGTCCTGCTGGAAAGTGAGCCTCCGCCCCAGTCTCAAGTCTTTTGCAGACTCTAGGAGGTTTTCTTCTAAGATTGCCATCCATCTTCCCATCAATTTTGAGCAGCTTTCTTGTCCCTGCTGAAGAACAGCATCCCCACAACATGATGCTGCTGCTACCATGTTTCACGGTGGGGATGGTGTGTTCAGGGTGATGTACGGTGTTAGTTTTTCGCCGCACAGCGTTTTGCTTTTAGGCCAAAACTTAAAATTTTGTGTCCTCGACATGGCTTTTCGTAAAACTGCAAATGGGACTTCTTATGGCTTTCTTTTAAACAATGACTTTCTTCTTGCCACTCATCCGTAAAAGCCAGATTTGTGGAGTACACGACTAATAGTTGTCCTGTGGACAGATTCTCCCACCTGAGCTGTGGATCTCTGAAACTCCTCCAGAGTTACCATGGGCCTTTTGGCTGCTTCTCTGATTAATGATCTCCTTGTCCGGCCTGTTGGTTTAGGTGGACAGCCATGTCTTGGTAGGTTCGCAGTTGTGCCATACTCTTTCCATTTTCGGATGATGGATTAAACAGTGCTGCATGAGATGTTCAAAGTTTGGGATATTTTTTTTTATAACTTAACCCTGCTTTAAACTTCTCTACAACTTTATCCTTGACCTGTTTATCTGGTGTGTTCCTTGACCTTCATTATGTTGTTTGTTCACTTTGACTAATTTAGGTGAGAATTATGAAGGCAAATTGGTTGTCCACTAGATTTTAGTTTGGAGGTGACCAGCATAATAGAGGGGCTTCGCTGAATACAAAATGCATGCCTCACTTTTCAGTTATTATAATTGTTTAAAAAAATAATATTTGAAAACCATTTATCATTTTCTCTTTCCACTTCACTCAATTATATGCCACTTTGTGTTATATTAAAATCCCAATTGATAATACATTTATGTTTTTGGTTTCTTAAACCATGGACAAAATGTGGAAAATTTCAAGGGGGTGATGATATACTTTTTTCAAGGCACTGGTTATATCCTGTAGATGGTATACAAAAAACAAACTTTTGGGACTTAGCATTATTATAATATGATTTTTAAGAGAGTCTCATGATGATCATTACCACTAAATTTGAGGATCCTAGGCAGGGGGGCGGACTGACCATTTGGAAACTTCAGGCACTGCCCGAGGGACCGGGGGACAGTAGGGGGCCCCATGAGACCCATGTTCCCCCTTTTTTCCATAGGTTTTTTTAAATTTGGGGAAAGGCCCCCGGGGGCCCCATAAACCCCCTATTCCCGGGGGGGCCCCATGAGTTGCCAACCCAAACCCCTGGTCCTAAAAATTGGTCTAAAAGGATGTCGGGGGGGAGTTTCAAGTAAAGCTTTAAAAACGCACAGTACAAATGTACATTGGGAAAAGGACTCAGATTGGGCTCCTTGTAGCACTTAGTAAAGGTTTTTTGTAACTTTTCCCAAAAAAATTTTTTTGGCATTTGTAAAATGTTATTTTTCTTTATGAGGGGTTTGAAATTGCATAAAAAAATAAATTTTAACTTGGGGTTTTTAAAAACAAATTGGGTTTTCCAGTTTTTATTTTTTTATTCACCCGTTCTGTTCTTAGCCCGGGAACTTATTTCTGTATTGGTTTGTAAGTTTATTTTTCCCCCAGTTTGCACATAAATTCAAAAACAACACATTGGTGGGTTTTACAAAAAATTGAATAAAAATTCTATTTTCTGATTATAAAAAAGTTTACGGGGGTATTTTTGAATAAAAATTTTAAAGGCCTGAAAACCCAAGGAGGGGTTTTTAGAATTTGTGCTGGAGCAAAACCCAATCAGGCAAACCCCCCGCCCCCGCACCCAGCTCCCCCCACCTGGGATTTCCCCCGCACACCATGGCCCCCTAAACCCCCCCCCACAACTACCACAACCCCCCCCCCCCTAAAAACCCAGAAAAAATGAAGAAAACTAAACCATCACCCCTTCCACCCCCAATCATTACAAACCCCAAAATTTACTTTTTTTGTCCCTTCCCCCCCCCCCTTTGCCTGATCAGCTGCCAAGAGCAAAAAAAATCCCCTTTTTTAGTCAGTGTTGGGGGGGAATCCCCCAGCGCTATTGTTTTTCATTTCCCTGCCAAGCAGGAACCAATGTTTTTGGGGGATGGGGTTGGCTAAGCTTTCCGGCAGAAAACACAGGCAAAAAAATCCTGACCGGGGGGGGGGAATTTAAAAACTTTGTTTTGGGTCGGGAACCTTCATTTAAGAACCCAGCCGGGCCCCAATTAAAAAAAAAGGGGACCCGGGGAAAATCTCGGCCCAGTCCCTGCTGAAGCCCGGCCGGGGAGGGGGGATTTATAGCCCGCGGCTTTTTAATTTTTAACAGCTAGGGGGGAAAAATTTATTTCTCACTCCATATGCCCGCTTTGGGCCAAAAACCAAGCCCCAAAACCCCCTCCCAACATGAGAGTTTCCCCAATCAATGTTAATCTTTTATTTGAGTCAGCCCGTAGTTTACACGGGCCCAGTAAGGTTCCCCTTCCTGCAGCCATAAAAAAAACCACATATAAAAGGTTTTTTTCATTTCATATTTTGAACAAACTGGCTTGTTTGCAATGGGAAATTTTAAAAGCAGTGTTTAAAAAATGCACTGCGTTAAAGATCTGAAAACACAGAATCCAAACATCTGTATCAAGAATATCATTTTAAGTGCTTTACACATTAGGGGGTTTTGTATATGAATTTGTAAGCACTTAAATTAAGTTTAAAAAAAGGGGAAAAACACACTTTATCTTTAAAGGTACACATCCCCCTTTTTCCCTTTTTTCATGTCTTTATGCTTTTAAACATCTACTGTAATTTACTGATCATTTATGGGGGAATTTTTTCTCCTTTAGAAAGGGGGATGTCCCCCAGCACACCGAGGATAAAAAAACATGGGTCCAAAATTTTTAAATTGAACAATTACATACTTTTTCCAAAATTTCTCCCCCCCAACGAAATTTTGGGGCTTATGATTTTGGTTATTCGCTCCTACAAGGGGGTTGGGAACCCCCCCCCCAAAAACAAAAAATCTTGGGTTTGTTAAAACTGTGAAAAGGGTTTCTTTAAAATTTTAACCACTTTTTAATTAAACCCCTTGGCTACCCCCCCTTGGAAAGGGTTAAAAACACCCCCCCGGGTTTTCCTTGGAGCCCCCACAACAAAAACCCATTTTAACCCCAAATTTGGGCACTTTGGGGAATTGTCCAGCATTTTTTCCTAGAAAAATTACTGGTGTTTAAAACATGGGTGAAGGCCCAAGGAATGGTCCATGAAGGGAATGTTTTTCTCCCCGGGGCAAGGGCTTAAGGAAAGTTAAAAGATTTTCAAACCAAAGACACCTTTAAAACTTTAATCCCCCAAATTGTGGGGGCCTTTTGAAACGTTTCTTGAAAAAAAGATCTAAATTCATGTGTTGGCGCTCCGGGCGTTTTCCCCCTTGGACTGCTAAAAAATTAAAAAAGGGGATTTTCAGAGGGGTTCTTTTTTTTCAGCCCAAAATTCCCAATTTCTTGAAGGGTCCCAAATCCCGGGTTCCCCCTTTTTCTCCAAAGGGGAAATAAGGAGTCGACTGAGAACCGCCATGGTAAAAAAAATTTGGGATTGTTTGGACGGCCAAAATTGGAATTTTTTTTTAAATTTTAAAATTTTTTAAAATTTAAAAA